ATTTCAATTAAAATGGGAAAACGGAGGTGCGCTAAATAATTGGACAAGTAGTGTATGAAATAAATGTAGAGCATAACATGCAATATTCTATTATGTATTTTCTTGAGAAACATGAGAGCCTGGTGCCCTCTAATGGAGAGAAATGTTTAAACAATTGTAGTGAAGTGCTGCAAATTGCTGTGTTAGAATATAACTATACTGGGAGGGGATTTATCAAAACTGGAGCCAGTGGAGTCACAAGGGGGGTGCGGCCCACACCTGGGTGACACCCATTGCAGGGGTGACACCAAAATGAATGACAGTCATTTTGGTGTCACCCCCTCTAAAAAGTCAGGCACTCGGTCATGGACCGAGAGCTCGACAGTGTCAGGAGAGGGGAGGGGACCCGGCGGGATGAGGTATGCACGTCCCCTCATCTCTCTGCTGGCGTCCATCACCAAGATGGCCGCCAGCAGGCGTCAATCAGATGGCTATTTGCTTTCTCTGTTATCAATCATTTTGTTCCTGAGCCATATGTGACGGGACGCATCCCAGCATCCCTTTAGATGTCCCTGCTCAAGCAACCGATCAGCAAACTGCGCAGCTAAAGTCTTCAGCACCCAGTGGCCGGCAGGGAAAGGCAGACACATCTAAAGGGATCCCAGGGATGAGTTCTTTGCATTGTTTTTTTCAAAAGAATGATATAAAAGTAAAATGCTGTGGTGCTTACAGGAGCTTGCCGCCGCTTCCACCAAACTCAAGCCAAGAGCAGCAGATAGACCTGGTGATGAGATCATCAGGTTTCATAAAAGGTATTTCTTGAAAAACAAAATTATTTGACTGACATCTTCTGATCTTTTTAATAACTTCATTAACATTGTAGGTACAATAAAAAAAAAAAACAACTGACTATGTGAAAGTTACTGCGTTACCCCTTGCAATGGTTCCATTTCCTATGTGCCCCTCTATCTCCCTATACATAGCTGGGATTCTCCCAGTACAATGGCCTACTTCAGATGAAAGGGTGTCAGTGCTGTAATGTGGCATTGGCCCCATTTCTTCTTCACCGTGGCTGTGGAATTACAGTTGTGCGTTGTGGTGCTGCGTCTTCCCCGTCAGTGGCCCAATGTTGTCACCCCTGAGGGAGTAGCAGGTCACAGATACCCCATCACAACCAGCCCCACCTCTGCTCATGGCTGTGTCCAGTCCTATCACATCATCATTACATTACATCAGGGGTAGGTAACCTCGGCACCCCAGTGCTTGTGGAACTACAAGTTCCATGTTGCATTTCAAGACTGACAGCCACAGACATGGCTCCCAGAGGCATAGGCATAATGGGAGTTGTAGTTTCAGCAGGAAGCGGAGGTTGCCCGTTTCAGAATAAAAGGAATGCTCACCAATACAGCGGATTACTGCAATGCATGCTGTTCTTGAACCAGTTGTGATGACCTGGAATGTGGGTGATGGCCGATCTCTGTTCCTATCTCCCCATCCAGGCCTTTGTCCACCTCTATCACCCCCCCCTTAGTAGGTGTCCCCATACCAGCTTGCCCATTTATCCTAGTAACACTTTATTTCCTCTAGATTCTTTAACTCTTCCCCCTTTCCACTACCACAGCTCTCCCATCTTTCCCTTCTACTGAGGGGCGGGCTTCCGATGACCGCAATGCTGAACGGGCAGTGTGCGCGTGCGCACACCGGCCGTTCGGCATTTGTCTCCCGAGCACCGTTCTAACCAGCCGAAAATCGTACGATTTTCTAGCGTGCTCCTTAGACAAAAGACGTGCGACCGTACAGTAGAAACGGTCGCACGTCTCCGTTCACACTGCTCGATTCTCGTATGATTGCGGGATTTCCCGCGATTCTCGTACGAGAATCGAGCAGTGTATGGGCACCTTTACGCCTTCCCTCCAATTCATCAATGAGGATGAGAACGATCTCATCCTCATTGCTCCATTTTGGCCCAAAAGAGCGTGGTTCTCTTTGCTTCTATCCCTTGCTTGTCGTCCACCCTGAAACCTGCCAGACAGGCCAGACTTAATCTCACAGGGACCAGTGCTTCCCCCCAATGTTTAGATGTTCAGACTGACTGCCTTCTTTCCAAGGAAGAAATCCTAAGAGGTAAGGGGCTATCCTCTAGAGTGCAAAGGGAGCATGGAGCCGGTTTCCTAATAGGAAGCTGACTTCACCTATTGCTTAGCAGCCGACTTTCTGATAATCAGGGCACACGGCACCGATACTCGGTACTGGCGAGTACCAGAAAATAAAAATATACAGGTACTCGTAACCGAAAAACCGCTATCAGTGCATTCCTACCAGTAACCTATTTCCAGTACTCTTCCAGGACAGCAGGAATCTCACCCTTTTTTCTGTGGCCTTGTTTTTTGTGTTATGTTCTGACATTTTGCAGCTCCTTCTTTCGGTTCTCGTGTAAATGGAGGATTGCTCCTGGAGGCGTTTTTTTAATATTCAGATTTGGTGATGTGTTTCCTGACTGAGGGAGGCCTCCATCTCTCACATGCTGTCCTGGAACACTACTGGGCGTAGAGTTACCAGTAAGTCTTACTTTTTCACTTTGTTTGCGTTAGGATACAGGATATTCAAGATGTCAGCTAGAATGCAAAGGTGCATTGCTGTGTAATCTTAGAGACTGTCATGTCATGTGTATGTTTGCATCTCCCACTCAGGGGATAAAAAGTAAAGGAATGCCGGAAACATCACTGCCCTCTCTAAAGTGAAAGCAAAAAACATAGCGGTCACGTGACAGCCAAGATGGCTAAAAAGAGGACTTTTGTCAAATAATAAAATAATGTAACCGTGTATAAATGCATGAGCATGCTTTGCACGTAGTGATAACTACAGTAAGGATTCATTAGGCTTGTCAACTGCTTCAAGCAGTTTTTGCATTCCCTTTGACTTGTATGAGGGTCAAAAACAAAATTCTTAAGGAAACAAATGCCCATGTATATCATCCATAATGTAACCGTGCTGAAGTGGACCCCGCAAGTACCTCTGTTAAGCTACACCCAACATGACAAACTTCAATTGTAAAATCAAAAAAGGAGCCAGGTGGACATTTGTCAGCCAGTGACTACATCCAATCAAATGCAGTCTTTGTTTGGTATTCAGATCATTGCAGATACCGGCTGTCTGACTACAGAAGCTGGAAGGAGAGATTCCCCTTATCCACGCAAACTAGTAGATTTCTCTCATTTGGCCCATGTGTACTTCTGGTTTTTAGTGTAGAGGGAGACATCAAAGTGTGTATGACTATACACTGTAATATCTTCTTCGTTACCCATGGGCTGAACGTAGAAAATACTCCTCTATTAACAAGGTTGATGGAGGACTCTCCCGCTGTTTGCACTGTTTTCTGATGGCCACCGTCAAAATACCCAAACAGAGTTGGCAAATTTTCGGACCGGCTCCTTCGATCAGCTGATTGTTCTTTAAGAACCAGCCAAAATTCATATAGTGTATGGCCAGTTTTAGTCTTCCAGTCAATCCCCAATCAATAAAAGCAAAGAATAACTTTTTTTACCTTTGCAAAGGGAACCTACCCTACTTAAGGTAAATCAACCCAACAGCATGTATGGAGCATCCAGTGATCCCCAAAAACTATCAGCGAGTATTAGTAGGAACCCTTATTCATTATGGAGAAAAACCGTGGGGAGTGGAGACTGCCAATTCTTCACAGTCAAAGCAAATTTTAGGACCCATACTGGGCATTTTCAGGAGTACTTGTACTTCCTAGGAATCCCCGATACTGAAGACCGATAGTGGCCCTTTACATTTTTCAACTGGATTGGCTGCAGGACATCAGTAGCCTACTGGGGACCTAGTGGTAGCTGTTCTTGGCAGTGCCTGTCTAGCACCATATCTCCTTCCCGGTGCAAGCACAGCCCCACACCAAAAAAACAACCCTAGAGCCGGCAGAAGATTGGCGCTTGATCTTTCAGCCCGGCGCTCGCCCGCAGCCTGATGACAACTCTACACTCCCCTGGCGAGACGCAAATGCAGCCCTTGTGACATCTGTACGCAGCCCTGGTGAGACACTGCCCTATAATCAATAGTCTGTATTGTTTTTGAATAATGTCATATGTCCCTTTAAGAAAACGTATCGCTAATTGGTAGCAGCAAGTACCTGAGGAAAAGTACTTGGTATTTTAAAAAAATATATATATGGTATCGGGACATCCCTACTTTAAAGCACTCTATAGTGATTGAGAGAAACATGTTCTCCTTGTGCGGCTTTCCTCCGGGTACTCCAGTTTCCTCCCCGCACTCCAAAGACATGGTGGAACTGGCTCCCATCTAAATCAGCCCTGGTATGTATGGGAGATAGGGACCTGAGATGGCAAGCTCTTTGAGGGCAGGGACTGATGTGAATGTGCTCTGTGTATAGTGCTGAGTAAAATTGTCGGCACTTTATAAATACCAATAATAAAATCAGACAAGCTCACCCATCAGAAGTCATTAAGTCCATTGAGATGATATCGCACTTATAAAAACAGCTCATGCAAAGCTTTGAAACACCTACAAAATTTACTTCATCGTCTTATCCAGCATTTGGTACAGAAAGGTTCAGCCGATTTTTATTAAAATACAATTTTTGTCAAGAAATAATTGGAAAAAAAAAAAAAGATTCACTGGTGAACAAAAAAAACAAACACCAAATACATTAATAAGTTAGCTATACAGCACGAGAATTAACCCTTTCAGCAAAAAGTAAAAGGCATCCAAACGCATCGACTTTTGAGATGTACTCGGGTAAGACACTATGAAAGAGACGCAAGATGTTCGGCATAAAGCAAGAAAGGGTTAATTCACAAAGTCCGGATGTTCAGGTGCGCTGTGAATATGCAGGTTTGGTTTCAACGTTCCGATTTTAACCCCTTCAAGCGTGGGATCCATTCTCCATTTAGTAAGAGGCTAACCATGGCTAAGAGGAGTCTCGATTTCTGGTATGGAAGGGGTTAACATGACATTCAAATGCACATCTTTATAGTAATGGTGGGGGGCAGGGGGGAGGATGAGCCCCATCCTTTCAAGAGAGATCATTTTGGGGTACGATTAGTATACCGTCTGTGTTTTACGTGTTCATGAATAAACTATTAATACTTAAACATCTCTCTGCAGCTTAATGACGTTTTGTTTTCTGATGTACAGTATGTACGGCGATACTTTGTATCAGAGGAATGTTTGCATCGAACAGACAATGATCAGAGCAAAACCACCCAGAGGGGGACCTGTTGGCAGGGGACAGCTTAGGGGGACATTTAACCTCGCAGTAAAAACTGAACACACATCAACAGACAAATGTTAAAAAGATCCTCCCTCCTCCAACATTTGTAAATGAAGAAGAAGAAAGGATAGCGACCTGAGGGCAGGGCCGTTTTTGACTGCCCCCTGCTGGGGATGGAGAGGGCTAGAAATCAGCAGATTTGGTAGTTCAGCCCCCTGATATCGAAAGGTTTGTTCATTGTCCTGCGTCCGATCGCCACCGCTCACATCACATCGCAACATGAGTTCTGCTTCCGTGCCTGAGGGTGAAGCAAAGGGAAGTAGAGAGGGGTTAAAAGCGGCCGTGCAAGCCTTACAGAAACATTTCTATAATGTAGTAAGGTTGGTAGGCTCAGGTGTGACACCCTGGAAGAGTGAATGGAGTAGAAAAGAAACTAATGCAGATTGCTGCATCTGTCTGCTATCATTATACTTAACACCTACCCTGAGGGGACACACAAGGAAACCAGAGATGTGCGCCAAACATGAGGGACCAATGTGCCCTGCCACCTGACAGTTGTATGCCAACGTTACAAATATATGCCTGTAAATTAGTCACTGGATAAGGATTCTTATGCATGTCACAGAATCACCAGTCCATGTCTCCCGCCACACTGCAATTCATGAGTACATTCTCCTCTCTCACCACACTTCAAACCAGGAGTACCATCTCCTCTCTATATCCCACCACACTGCATACCAGGAGTACCATCTCCTCTCTATATCCCACCACACTGCAAACCAGACATACCATCTCCTCTCTATATCCCACCACACTGCAAACCAGGAGTACCATCTCCTCTCTATATCCCACCACACTGCAAACCAGGAGTACCATCTCCTCTCTATATCCCACACACTGCATACCAGGAGTACCATCTCCTCTCTATATCCCACCACACTGCAAACCAGACATACCATCTCCTCTCTATATCCCACCACACTGCATACCAGACGAACCATCTCCTCTCTCTCCAACCACAATGCAAATCAGACGTACCATCTCCTCTCTCCCACCACACTGCAAAACCAGGAGTACCATCTCCCCTCTCTCCCACCACACTGCATACCAGGAGTACCATCTCCTCTCTATATCCCACCACACTGCAAACCAGACGTACCATCTCCTCTCTATCCCACCACACTGCATACCAGGAGTACCATCTCCTCTCTATATCCCACCACACTGCATACCAGGAGTACCATCCCCTCTCTATATCCCACCACACTGCATACCAGACGAACCATTTCCTCTCTATCCCACCACACTGCATACCAGACGTACCATCTCCTCTCTCCCACCACACTGCATACCAGGAGTACCATCTCCTCTCTATACCACCACACTGCATACCAGATGTACCATCTCTCCTCTCTCTCCCACCACACTGCAAACCAGACGAACCATCTCCCCTCTCTCCCACCACACTGCATACCAGGAGTATCATCTCCTCTCTCTCCCACCACACTGCATACCAGGAGTACCATCTCCTCTCTCTCCCACCACACTGCAAACCAGGAGTACCCTCTCCTCTCTCCCACCACACTGCATACCAGGAGTACCATCTCCCCTCTCTCCCACCACACTGCATACCAGGAGTACCATCTCCTCTCTCTCCCACCACACTGCATACCAGGAGTAAACATCTCTTCTCAATCTCCCACCAGACTACAAACCATGGGTACCATTCTCTTTTCTAAATCCCCAAACACACTGCAAACCACGAGTAGAATCTCCTCTTTATATCTTCTGCCAAAGTGAAAATTAGGAATACCATGCCCTTTTTAGATCTCCCACCACACTGCAAACCATGGGTACCATCTCATGTCTATATTCCCCATCACACTGCAAACTGGGTACCATCTCCTTTCTATATTTTTTCACCACAGTGCAAACCAGGAATACCATCTTTTTATACCTCTCTCAACAATGCAAACTATAGGTACCATCTCCTTTCTATAGCTCCACCACACTGCCAATCAGGAATACCATCTCATTTTCATATATCCCTCCACACTGGAAACAATGGGTACCATCACCTCTCTATTGCCCCTACCGCACTACAAACCACAAATAGAGATCCTATCTCAAATCACACTGCAAACCACAAGTGAAATCTCCTTTCTATCTTTCCCACCACAGTGCAAACCAGGAGTACCAACCCCTCACAAAGCAAATTATACACTTTATTAACATAATGGAAAAAGCAGGGATTTGCCATAACCCAATAGATAAGCTAAATGTAATAAAAAGGAGAACTATGAGGCGAGTGCTTTTCACTCACCTTATAGTTCTAGCCGACCTGTGACAATGAGACTGTCACAGGTCGGCTCAGTAGATCGGGAGGTGAGCGAACACATACCGGCGTTCGCTCACCTCTCGATCCTGTCACGGCTCTCTGCCGTGACAGGGGAGGGGCTTGATTCCCCGCTCCGCCAGCGCTGACTGGCAGAGCCAGCTGTCAGTCACGCAACCGGGCGGATCCCGGCACAATTGTCGGGATCCGCTTCAGCGGGGGCGTCTCAGTATACCGCGAGCTACAGCAGGTGGTATACTGAGCCTAGGGTGACGGGAGGACGCTAGTTTCCTGCAGTACACTCAGATGTGAAAACTATGACCAGCCATTGATACAAAACGGAGTATCATTTTATCTGGGGGGAAAAAAATCTGAATTTATCTTATAGTATATTTAGTGATCGAAGAGAACAGACTAAAAGGGATGAGTGTTTCTACTGAAGACCCCAGACTTGAAAGATCAAGACAAAATGTAAGTGGCCATAGACATAGCATAGCAAAGTGGGAGAACAAACCTTGCATGCTTAGAGGAGAGCTGACTAGAGGGCACACCTGCCATATAGTACAAGTATGCTGTGCAAGAGTCCTGGAGACCAGTAGCCTCACAGTTCTGCATTAAAAAGGTATTTAACCATTGCGGCAAATAATATTTAGTTAATACAGAAGTTCTACATCACACCTACACCAGCACCTTGTTAGGCAAGCAAAAAAAGATCTTGTTTCAAATAGTCCATAATCTTTTTGCTTCACACTAATAACCAATGCAATAAAACTTTACATGACCACTGCAGCCTTGTACTTAAAGCAAACCTTAGAAATCCAGAGGGGCTGCCATTGCCAATTCCTTTTTGAAGATGAAGTGTCTAGCTAGCTCACTGGCCAACTGGGTCCAGTAAAGTTTTAGTCCCTGACCTATCTGTAGATTCACAAAACTTTATCTGCATACCTGTTGCAGATAAAAGTATTGAAGCCAAAGGGTAAACATGCAATGGCAGCCCCCATGTCTCTCATAGTTAAGGTGCTCTTTAACATTTCGATACTTCCATATCTACCGCTGTCCGCAAGGCTCCCTTCACACCTATTTGTATGCACCACGATTCCTTCTGAATGGCACTCCAATGTGCAGTGTAAAAAAGCATACCTATGCAACCCACCGACCTGAATGCACAGCGCATTGCAGTGCCCAAAAGATTGCAGGTAAACTTTAAGGCACATTGGAAGTGAATTGGCTGCCTTAACAAAACTTGCTTCAATGCAAGAGAGAAAAAAAACAAAAAAAAACACATTAACATGCACATACCGTATGTGTGTGAATGGAGCCTGAAGGATGTGAAGCTTACCTGTCATTGTTTGAAACATATTTTTTGCAAGAAACAAGGATATCACACACTATTGGCACTTACTGTTTTGTAAAATGCTTTGGACTGGGTTCCCAGTACTTCTGATTTACTGACTAGGTCATCCAGTTTTTCTCCACGCTGTAGTAAGGATTCCATAGTGTTGTGCTGAAGACGACAAAGGAGACAGATTTAAAACTGCAGACAATGAATGCTCAGGGACTTCAAGTTCTGTAGGGCTGGAATGTACAGTATTATGCAGGGGTCTCTGTCTTCTAGATCTCTGCTAGGCACCAGTAAAACTAATTTACCTTGTACCAGGCTTACGGATTCACAATTTTACTTATAACTAGAACTTTGTCACTCATAACTGTAGGGTAGCAGGATTCCACATGTCAGTGCCTTCAGATGGCACAGTATAAACATCCCCAGAACCATTAGGAGACAGAGTCAACCGTGGAGCAGGAGCACCTCCCATCTATGTCTGCATGCTATGACAACATAGGCAGGATGCAATCGAGCTCAGGGTAGAATGCCTCAGGTACTTAAAAAAAAAAAATCCCAGACAGCTGGTACATGTGCGAGTTTGGTGCCCGGAGGTGACCAAACACACTATAGACAATCTACAAAGTAGGAACGGTCCGGAGTTTGTAGTTCCAAGTGGCACATTTGCAAAGCGAGAGCAGCAGCAGCTGGGTGATCCTCTCCTGCCTTTCAGCATAGACAAATCAAGTGCATGCAACACTCCACCCAGCAGATGTCAGCCCTCAGTCCCCCTGCCTTTACCCTTTCTGTGGTAAACCAATGCATACTGTAAATTAAAAGGCACCCAAGGGGCAAATAGCAAAGTAGCTGCCAATGCTCAGCCCAAATCAGCTCACCCACTTTCAAGACAGTCAATGCCGGCCCACGCCAGCATGGGATGGCACTCAAAGCTAGACTGAAGAAAGACAGATCTGAATAGCTGCCATGTAGAAACAAGCTCAAGAAGCAATGTAGTGGATTAGGAATGTAGTACACTCCGTAAAATCCTTTTCTTGAAGTTCATTGAGGGACTCACACCCTATCATGTGTGTCCATGATCATACTCTAGTACTGCTTGCTGCAAACCAAAGCATGCTGGTAGTAGGAGGAAGTTATCCTTGGCTGGCCAACTTTTGTTTTTGCCAGTGTCCAATCCTTCTGTAGGCAACAGTATAACCCCCAATATTCCCCATGCTATCCATAAATAAGATGTGAAGACACCAGGGGGATGATAAGATTGCACTTACCAGGATAATTTTGGTTTCGTCCAGCTCGGCTTGTACTTTACTCATTGGATCAGCTTCCCGAGGATTCTGAAAAGAGAAGCAGAATTGGAGTGAGCGATGTCCTGTCCTCAGTGACAATGTCTAGGTCATGAAATTCATCAATAAATGGTTAATCATTCATTTTGCAGCCTCCTGCTTGTTTTTTTTTCCAGAATCATAATAAATCATAGTAAAGACTTCCATTATGACACAGATAAGGAGATAGTAACAGCTGGGACTTGCAAAGTGCACATTCGTGACCTTCTAGACAAGACAGACAGGGCCGCCTTCTTCCCTGGTGCAGCAAGTCCTGTATTTTTATTAAAAATAAGGAAAAGTCAGTCTTTTACAAAATCATAGAAGGACTACAATTACGTATCATGGGGGAAGTACGCTTCCCATTCAGGAAGATCAGAAATGATTACTCCGATTCAGGGGACACACAATGGGACATCTGTAAACAAACAAATGAACACAGAAGAAGCTAATAGCTTTAAACAGTCACATGCTAATTGTAACCGTTATGCCAAAAGTCCCGTCCATGAAGGACAGAATATACCAGATGAAACTGGTGGCCACTTTGAATAAGAACTAAATTTCACTAATTCCAAAGAGGAAACAATTGGTAAAGGTTTTTTTTTTAAGTTTATGGAGAGAATGATCAAATAAATCAGGATTGAAGAATTGGAAGGGGCTATAAAGTCCCTTAGTGCTGTTAATGGAATGATGTGTAGATTTTCTTTCTTTGTTCATTTATTGATTAATTTCTTCTTTTCTTGTCTCTTTTGTATGTTTGTTGTTTATGTTGGAAATAGGGCTGCAGAAATTAACGATTAATCGTTAAAACTTTTTGATCGATTAAAATTATTGTGATCAAAAATGGAAACACTCACCTCTCCGCCGGCTTCCGGGAGTTCCGTCGGAGATCCGGTGATGTCACGGGCATCAACGTCACCAGACTCCTCCCCCCTTCCCCAAGTGGCGCCGTCGGCTAACACAAGGAAGAGGAATCCGGTGACGTCACAGGTGGGGGAAAAAAAAATAGTTCCCTGCATAGCTCACTTGGCCAAAACTAGCTTAGCTGCTCTCGTGCTTAGTCGCTAGTGGCTCGGTCGAACACGAAAATTTTAATCATTACCAGCCCTAGTTGGAAATAATAAATATATAATGAAAGAGGAAACAATTTCCCATTTTATTTTAGAAAACAATTATGGTTTCTGGCAGTCTATATTATTATCATCATCATTTATATAGTGCTGTCACTCTTCTGGGAAGGAAGGAGGGGGGGGGGTGACACTTAGATTTATAGTATAGTGACATTAGATTTATAATTAAAAAAAGTTATCTTAATTTTTTTGATACAATTTTTGAATTTTTGTAATGCGGACATTTGTTTCAAGGGGTACTTATTCTTGGGGGTTTTGTATTCTTTGTTCTCCTTGTCCACACCCTTGGTGGTGCGGGGTTTTTTAAAGGAAAACTGTCGGGACAGTAAAATGTAGTACCAGCCTGGGCACCACAGCTGTCACACGCTGGCTCTCTAGATTGATAACTGAGCGATCCCAAACTGCTGAATTTTCAGCTCACGGCTTCTTCCTGCAGAGAGAAGCGAATGTCAGTCACCGCTTCCCTCTCTATTCCTCCGGTGCTCATTGGAGGAGCAGACAGGGGAAAGGATGGGCACAGCTGGCTATAGAGAAGCAGAGACTGCTGTCAATCAGGCAGTGGGTTGGATCCTTCCTGGCAGCGCTTTCACAATATAGCGGGCAATAGCACACCATATGCCGACTTTGGGTCACAGGAGGACATTAGTAAATATACTCCTGTGACCCAAAAGAAGACTAATGACAAAAAAAGGTTTTGCTTTAGTTCACTTTCAAATATTCTATTAAATCAGATTTGACAAACAGAACAGAATGAATAGGACACAGATACAAATCAACACACTGGAAAATCTATGTAAGACAACGCGAAACCCTTACCTGATACTTAGCAAGATAAGAGTCCAAGGCATTGTACTGAATGGTAGCAGGAGAGCCGGATGGCCAGTCTATTCTGTCCACCTGGGTGGAGAATTCCTCCAGGACCTGAAAAGAATAATAAAATTAACACCAGATACCACTAGAATAAACCACACAACCCAAAACTGTTGTCCTGTGTACAAAACAATTCCCTATATAAATCTGATGTACGTCCGACTCTGCAAAAGCTGAAACCCATCAAACCGACATAAAACACTCCAGGAAAAGAAACATTTCAGTGGTTACTGCAGCAGCTTCACAAGTATGCACCAGGGGTGATAAATATTTATGCTTCGAGGAAGATTACAGGGCGTTCTCAGAGAGTACATAGCTTAAATTAGTAACCAGCTCAGCTCGCACACCTGCACACTCCCCACAGAGCAATTTCTACAGTTCTGCTATGGGCCTGTTTATTCGGCAACCACTTTGTTATGTTTTTCCCAAGATAAACAAGGCTTTCTTTTGGTGAAATTGTCTTGCAAAAATTATTTTTATTTTTTATGCAATCTATAGACAAAAACAACAAGTTTAGAAATTAAAGGGTTTTTTTCCCCACAATTGTGTGCTTCTTGTTTATAGGCGACAAAAACAAAAAACGAGTTAATAAGTATAAAAAAAATATACCAGCGAGCCCCTGCGATCACCACGGGCCAATACCAGCGAGCCCCTGCGATCACCACGGGCCAATGCCAGCGAGCCCCTGCGATCACCACGGGCCAATACCAGAGAGCCCCTGAGATCACCACAGGCCAATACCAGAGAGCCTCTGCGATCACGATCGGACAATACCAGAGAGCCTCTGCGATCACGATCGGACAAACTAGCAACTCTCTGAATATAATTGGGCAGAGTTTTCTCATTATATGATATCTCAACGTGGGAATGTTTCACGATAACGGCTATTGAGTAGGTATTGTGTATTAAACTTCCTTGGTACTCTGGGGATACACTTTCATACTAAAGTTAGCAGTCTTACCTTTTCAAGGAGTGTGAAACAAACTCTTTGAGGATACTCTGTATCAGCAATCACTACGCCTGCCAAGGAGTCATTGCGTACATAAACGTGGCACAGATATTCTGTAGAGATGAAAGATAAAAAGTCACACCTATAAAGCTTGTAATAATTATTCACAGATTATAGTGAGAAGAGAAATCACGGAACGATGCTCAGTAAAAAGGCAGAGGAGGTGAGAAAAGTCCCCCAAATTACTTAGTTGAGCCCCAGACTGTTAGGGATTGCATCAGGACCAGACAAAAGCATGCAGGGCTTGGTTGGGAACTAGATAAATTATGAGATCGCTACCGGGTGACAATCTGTCGTATCCATTAATACCCATAGAGGGGGTTTCCGCTTTGGAATTTAGCAGAGTGAGAGGCGCTACATGTGCTGCTTTGCAATCATTTGTTGATCTGGGGATCCCCGGGCCCCCACTGGTTAATGGAGATACAACCTGGTTCTATTACTCTGGGCCTTGTTGGGCCCCATATGAAAACGCATTATTTTATTTTAGAGAGAACAAAAAAAAAAAAAAGTTAGGAACCATCACCAGCAGGAACATGAAAACAAAGAGCACTATGGGAAGGTACGTCATTGTATTAGCATATAGTCCGCCAATACAGAATACACGACAATTGTTCCAGCTTGCTAGCAGGGCATAAAGTCTGCAGATGTACGAGGCAGAAGTGAGTCCTACACCGTGCATCATATGTTGGGGTGAGGTGGACACCCAGATGGGGTAGATGTTCTGTCCAACCGAATGTAAAGTTTTACTACAGTGACCGTAGGGTTTCCTATTCTAGATCGTTTACAGCTGTGAAATTGAAGGGTTTGCTTTAGGGTAGCCAAACTCTGGCCCTCCAGCTGTGGTGAAACTACAAACCCCATGAGGCATCTCTCTCCAGGAGTCATGTCTGGGGCTGTGAGAATCTTGCAATGCCTCATGTAGTTCCACCACAGCTGGAGGGATGGAGTTGGCTATCCCTGCTTCAGGGTCACCAAACGCATTACAATCCAACCATATAATCAACTTTAAATGCACCAAAATATGTTGTATTAGCATCTACCTAATCTATCCAATCAGTTTGTATACAATTAGACTCCTGCACTACATAGTTGTTGGTAGATCTAAAGGAGATTGTGCAATCCAATTGTAACGCGTGTGGTGACCTGTAGGGCCCAAGATTGAAGTGTATTTATTTTACTCTGTTGTATCACAATTTTCACAGGCGATTTAGATTTCTGCTAACCTCTTGTAACACTGCACCATAGGGAGATCATTCTGTGAATGAGGGCATACTAAGAATGTGAAAACATTGTGGAACTATGAAAAAAACATTCTTATTATATCTTTATTCACAGAAAGAGCTCCCTGTGGCGCAGCGATACAAATTATGTACAAAACACAAAAATTCCCCAGCCTCAACCTGCCAGCCAGCAACCAAACAAGTAGCCCTGTCAACAGTATGCGTTAAAATCAGAGGTTTTAGTTGCACAAACTTTTAGCCAAAAATATGTAGAAGCCACACTGCCGCGCCAAGGCACCTCTGCAAAGTGTGGTCCTAACTCTGTGTATCCGAGTCTCCAAGTGTGAGCATATTAATGAAGTTGATAAATTACATGCAGGTGTACCTGGAGGTAGCCAACTCCTCCTGATAAGGTGCAGGGACGCACTGGAGGCCCAGCAACCAAAAATGCACGCTGAGACTCCAGTGCGTCCCCCAAACCAAAAATAGTCAAACTAGAAAAGATGGTACATGCATGAATCTATAACCGGCCTCTATAGGCTGACAGGGCTATTTGTTTGGTTGCAGGCTGGCTGGTTGAGGCTGGGGAATTTTTGTGTTTTGTATTATATTAAGCCTTCCCAATGTGCGCCCTGCTATAAAGGCCGGTTATAGATTCATTCATGTACCATCTTTTCTAGTTTGACAAATTATGTACATTCCTGAACTAACAGCATTGCTGGTCACATCACACAGCTCCAGCAAACGCAATAGGAATGAGGATCTTCTCCTTGAGGTACAGACAGTTTATTTACAACGTTGAGTGAACGGCTTGTCACTGGCCTACAATATATACTCATCTCCCGGTGGGAATAGGTGGTGTCATAAATTACATGTTAGAATTAATTCTCACTCCCAGCACTGGATATTGTTTTCTTTTCTCATCAGATTACTGGAGTGTAGTTATTTAGTACAATCCTAAAATATTGAGTACCTATACCATGTGATAATACATAATGAAAATAATAATTTATTATATTATGATTTTTATTATTGCACAGATACAGGTTTTTCAGTATCGAGTGTGAGTACAGATATTTTTTTCCCGGTACTCGCCGATACCGGAAGTCCCATTAAGGAAGCCAGGCAGCGTGTAAAGACTCGCCACCCGGCTTCCCGATTAGCAGGAAAGCCGTCTCCATGCTCTCTCTCTTCACTAGGTGACGAGGGAGCATGGAGCCCGCTTTTTGGCCAATCAGGAAGCCGGGCATACTACACATGTCCTATGTACTGTGATGAAGTTCTGTTGGGACGTCTGTAGTAGTGCAGTGTCCACAACTGCGTAATTGCATATATTTTGGAGTGTCTCTCTCGCTAAGCATGTGTACATCTGATACCAAAGCATGAGAAGCGCCTGCACTCAACTAACTTTAAAGTGGAATTCCATCCAAAACTTTGATTCTAGTTGTGAAATGACAATGAGATCCGATGTCAGCTTTTTATTGCTCCCGCCTGAAAGATTTTCCTTCACCTCCTGCCCTATAGTCACAAAAAGGAACAAGAGGAAATCTCCCAAAATGTATAGAATACCCCACTGCTATCACTGACAGGGGGAGGAGTCACCATTTAGAGACCTTCCTTTCACTTCTGTTCCCGTGACAACAGTCAGATCTTATATTGGCTTTCACTTTCTGTTCCCCTGACAATAGGTCACAAGATAAAAGTAGATATCCCAAAACAGGAACTCAGAATTCAACTTTCACTTTTGGGAAGGCACAGAAGCCTTCAATCATTCTTTCTGTATCTTTTAGAGCTACTCCCATAATTCAGCACTTGATTGAACCTCCCCAGCCCCCAGTAAGGCCGGAAGGTCACTTTCTCAGACCTGAACCCTGCAGTTCTTTATTCTGCACTATAGATAAGTTACCAGAGGAAAGTGCGAATGTTGGCAGACTAGGTTGATGCAAACATACAATGAGGGGAGTTTATCATTGTAGTCATATTCTGCGACAATAATGTGTAGTAGAACAGCAGGTCCTCTTTTTATTCATTTTGGTCGCAGAGAGTTTTTAGAAGTGCTGCCGAGTGGTTTATGGGAGAAGATTTGTGAGATTGGGGAGGAGAAGGAGGGGGGACAGCAGAGAGAGAAATGAATGAGGATAGGAGAGACGACAGAAGATTTGGAAGATGGGGGTTACATGAGTAAGAAAAGTTTTCTGAAAGAGTGTGAAGCAGCGGAGAGATGAGAGGATGATGCGGAGGAGGATTTCTGATATGGCAGAGAAACAAATAATGGACATATATACGACATGGGGGAGACAATGCAAACAGGGAAGATTCTTCTACTTTCCATCCTTTGATCTATGAACGAGCTGCTAATCCGGTCTCTGCAACTGTTACAATAGGAAGAAGCTAATCCCGGCAATATCTCCTCTTGCTGCTGTGTGCCAGTGCACAGTTCAAGGCTTCCCCCTAACTACCAGAGCATAACTTCTGACTCTCTTTAAACCTTTCACATACCAGTCAATGACATGAGAAGTCAAAGTTTAGACAGAAAGAGGAAGGGTATGTGCAGCTGTTTTTCACAGGAAGGGGTTGAAGGAGTGAGAAGACTTATGACAGGCAGTAGCGTAACAATCACTATAGCGACCAAGGCGGCCGCTATGGGGCCCAGGGTACAGGGGGGCCCGGCCAGGACGTTCCTGATGCTCTGCGGGTTGCTATGGCATCTCATGCTGCTGGCTGTCACTGGTGACTGTGAAGAGAAATGTGCCGCTGTTCAGATCACTGATAGTGATCTGTGCAGCGGCGCGTTCTTCTCCACAGCTGCTGCTGAGTCAGTGAGAGCCAGGAGTGGCGGTGGAGCAGGCTGGACCCAGCAGCGGAGGAGGCGGGGCCAGGGGTTGGCATCAGAGGAGGAGGGGCTCGTCACCGACTGTGGAGGAAGAGGAGGCGGACAGGTAAGGAGTGTGACCAGCCCACCTGAGGGTGACCCTGCAGAGCCCACCTTAGAGAGTCTATGGTGGGCTCTGCAGGGTCACCCTCAGGTGGGCTGTGTGGGATCTCAACTGGGCTCTGCAAGGGTTGTAACTAGAGATCACAGGGGCCCCATACAAAATTTTGTCACCGCTCGCCACAGGGATGCCACGCTCCCCTCACAGATCCTCCAGCGCTGAGTGGAGGAACGGACAAAGAGGGGGCGGGCACAGCCGGCTCTGGCTCTAGATAGGCAGAGCCCGCTGTCACTCAGCCAGCTGGGTGGATCTCGACTGTGTTGTCGGATCCGTCCAGCTGCGGCGCGCTCATTATATTGCGGGCAATAGCACACTATATACTGAGCTTTGGGTGACAGAATGTTGCTAGTAGATGTCCTCCTGTGACCCTATGGGGAAAAACAATTACCCCATAGTTCTCCTTTAAGTTGTATTCTGCCCCGGAGTTCTTCTTTAATGTCAGATTTGATTCATTCTGATAAAGCAGAAGCAGCAGGTCACTGAAGCCGCATTACCGCGGAGTTAGTTCAATAGCGGGGATTTTTCTTCCCAATGATGAAAGTCAGTCCCACATCTCCCCAGGTGTTCTCTATACTGACCATTACAGGCTTACCTTGTTCTTTCACCGATGATCGACTCCCTTTATCTGACCGCTCAACAATCAGCTGGCTGGTGAATGTCATGAACTCTTGCACACTATAAAGACACGGAAGACCAGGCAGTGAGGGGAAATGTTCCAAGATGAAATAAAACAAAGCCACAGATAAACATTTGAAAGGAAAGATTGTATGTAGCAAAGCAAACAACAGACTGGCTTAATGGGCGGCCCTATGGCCTTGCAAAGCTTCTTAGTTCAATTCCCACCAGAATTACTATTCTCCTAGTCCAGGTGTAGGCAATCTCCACACTCCAGCTGTGGTCTAACAAATCCCATCATGCCTCTGGATGTCAAGTCTGCAATGCCTCATGGGACTTGTAGTTCCACCACAGCTGGAGTCCCGAGGTTGCCTACCCCAGACCCATTTACAAGATCATAAGTCACATGTGTCTTTACATATCCTCAGTTCTGTTCCAGGACGGGAAGCAAACGAAAACCAGAAAGCTCTAATTTGGGAATACCAACTTTAGTTCAGAGATTTACCCCCACTCCCCACCCCCCTTCAATCCATCCCTTGGATCTGCATTCACTATGATCTCAGAGGCGTAACGGCAGGGGTCAATCGCAATCTACCCATCACGTGCCTACCAATGGCGGCTTGCTAATCCCTGGTCTAACCTAAAGACAAAAGCGTAAACCCTCCCTTAAAGATTAGATGACCTTTTGAAATAAGAGCCATGATAACTATTAAAAATAATAAGAAAAGTTAAACTTGTCAATATCAATATTTTAGGTTTTATACTTTACAGTCCCAATGCAAAGCAGACCATACACAGCTCAAATCTCAGCCTGCCGACTTGGGCGATATTCAACCTGTTTGTGGCCCCGTCGATACCCCGCAGTACAACAAAAGTGGGTTTAAATAAACTTCTGTTCTAGGAGCTGGTCCAAAAACACTCAGCCGAACAGCGACTGCTGCCAAATCAGCTGTAGACACTGCTCGGGTATTCTGACAGTGGCACACCCGCCACCGTCAGAGTACAATAGCCCAGCCGGGGGGAGGGGGTGAGGACTCCCACATACATGCTGTTTAGGGGGAAATCGAGCATTTGTTTTCTTGCTCACTCTGTGGCAAGTGTATGGCCTACTATAGTTAACATCTGACAGCTAAAATCTAATTACCTACCAGGGATAAAAATTACCTAAAACCGGATCAATGGAAAACTAGTTATGTCAAAACAACCAGCCAGGTTTATGCTTTCATTTTCTATATTGGCCTAAACTGAAAGCGGCCATACATTTGTTCTGTAGAGCTGTGACTCATGTGCACGCCCTTAGGGTCCATTCACACCACATCCAGATTTCCTCCAGGCCAGATTGTTTCCGGACCCAAAATGCACCCCTATGCTATTTCTGGCCTCTGTTCCCACCAGTGCAGTCCATTCCAGACCAGAAAAATACTGCTTGTTCTATTTTGTCTGGTCTAGAATGCAAACACATCTGGAACGCACCTGTAAGACCATTTTAAGCAAAATATTAAAAAAAAAAGTTACATTTTTGTTATCTTAATCGCGGCAAAAATGCAATGCACTATGCTCCAGATCTAGTCCGGAAAGCCTTAAGCCGGGTTCACACCATTTTCCGGACCAGATCTGAAACATAGTGCATTGCATTTTTGCAGTGATTTTACCGCGATTAACATTTACAAAAATATATATATATTTTTTTAGCTTAAAATTGTCTTACGGGTGCGTTCCATGCGTTTTTGATGCATTCCAGATCAGACAAAATAGGACAAGCTGTATTTTTCTGGTCTGGAACGGACTGCGCTGGTGGGAACAGAGGCCAGAAACAGAGGGATACATTGGGATGCATTTTGGGTCCGGAAACAGTCTGGTTTGGAGGTAATCTGGATGTGGTGTGAATGGGCCCTAAAAGACCTGCACTGCAGTGACCGTTGTGAAAGGAATTGTAACAAAGATGCTATTGCTGTCAATAAGATCGTTTAAATGTCATGCCCGTGACACAGAATAGCAGCCTGTGGTTACTTCTTCCTTGCAGCATTGGGGGATCTCGGTTCAAAGCTCAGCCAGGACAGCATCCGCATGGAGTTTGCATTGGTTTCCCTGTGCTTGCATGGGTTTCCTCCCACGCTCGAAAGACATGCTGGTAGGTGGATTGGGTCCTCTCTAAGCTGGCCCTAGTAAAGCTGGGAATAGTTATATTTTGTTTCTTCAACCTGCAGGCTGAACGAAGAAAATATAACAGATTCCGCCATCAACACTTACGTGCGTGGATGGAAGAACCCTCCTGTTGTTTCCTGTGGGGGGAATTTATCAAAACTGGAGCAGACAAAATCTGGAGCAGTTGCCCATAGCAACCAATCAGCTTCTCTTTCATTTTTAAATCTTAACTGAACAAACTGAAGAGAGAAGCTGATTGGTTCCCATGGGCAACTGCTCCAGTTTTGATAAATTCCCCCCACTGTATTTTGTCAGCGGCTGCGAGCTCTGTTCAGCTGAGAATCCGATTTCCAACCTGCTGCTTCCATCAGCTGATCGAGGGATGTCAGGTGGAGGGGTACCAAGTGTATGTATGTGAGATAAGGACCTTAGATTGTAAGCTCCTAGGAGAGAGTGAAATGAAAAATGAAAGTCTAAAGCCAAAAGTTTATTTGCCTATGTTGGATAGCGTAGAGAAGGGTTAGAATGAATGTCAGATTTGTTTCCCCATTGGGGAGATTTCCTTTCACTTCCTGTAGAGTTGACAGGAAGGAAGAGGATATCTGTCCAATGTGAGGGAAATGCCCCCCACAGCCGACAGTTGTCACAGGAACAAGTGTCCCCACTGCAAGTTTTCCCCTCTATTTCTGCTCTGGTGGCAACTAAAAATTTTGGATTTGCCCTTCACTCACATTCCTGGTGATCAGGACAATTCGAGAGAACGAGGACACAGCAATAAAAACATGACAGATGTTCTAACCCCCCAAAACTCTGTCCAAAGCTAACAAAAAAAGTTTAGTCTTTATACATTCTGGAATTCTGGCTTCTGTAGGCATCAGGAAAACATTCCCATTGAGATCTGAGGAGAGAAGACAAAGCTTTACCTGGATCTCTGGAAGAAGCTGAACGAGGAGACATCATAGGCACTTTTCAGAAGATGGACCTTGTAATCTCCCTTGTAGAGTATACTCAGGCTGTACAGCCTCATGGTGGCCTCTGCTGGAAGGAGGACATACAATCACTATTAGGACACACCGCCGACCACCTCCTCCTGTGTTCAGAGAAGTTATGTGGGGGGTATAAACAAAACTTTACACTTATAAGTAAATCTGAACGCAGGACATCTTCATATCTACGCCGATACACTCTGTATACATTTTAAACAAGGTACGCAGATGCTGCAGGGAAGCGGGCTCAAGGCGGACGCAGAGGCTGCAGGGGAGCGGGCTCAAGGCGGACGCAGAGGCTGCAGGGGATCACACAGGGTAGGGGAGCGGACACAACGTACACACAGGGTAGGGGAGCGGACACAACGTACACACAGGGTAGGGGAGCGGACACAACGTACACACAGGGTAGGGGAGCGGACACAACGTACACACAGGGTATCAGAGCCTCACCTGAGCCTCTCTTCCCTTCTCCCTCGGGGTCTCCTCTTCCTCCCTCCTCTCCAGCCGCTCTGACGGTTCAGCAGAAAAGCCCGGAAGCGGCCCTTCCCGTTACACGTCACAAACCGGAAACGAGTGCGGCTGGGAACTGTTTACGTCCGGAAAACTACATTTCCCATGGAGAAGAGCGCAGACACACCGTGAAGGGGCGGTGCGCTAAAAACCAATCAGGAGCTCAGTGCCGTGGAGGGGGCGGGACCCCCGTGAACTTTGCAGTTGCAGCAGCTTACAAGTGACTGACTAGTGTGTGATGTGTGACAGTGGACGGAGCGGTTCAGTGTTCTCTGTACAGCGCTGAGGAATATATCAGAGCAATATACACCTGTAATACTAATCATTGGGTGACAGGGTGACAATGGGGGGTATAAGAGCTGCTCTTGGACACAAACATATGTAAATGGGGTTTATGTGTTTGAGTTTTAAAATCCCAGCATATCCTCTCCTGTTATAACATCAGCAGTGTACTAGGAATACATAGTGGAGATGTTTCTGATAATGCAATCGGAGCTTACTAGAAAAAATCCCTTTTATGTAGTGAGTGCTGCCTCCTGTTCCATTTTCCCTAGATTCCCAGTGTGCTTTGCGTCTCTTTCCGTGCTGCTTCATGTATTATTATTATTATACAGGATTTATATAGCGCCAACAGTTTGCGCAGCGCTTTACAATATAAGGAAGACATTACAATCACAATACAATTCAAGACAAGATGGTAAGGAGGGCCCTGCCCATGAAGGCTTAGGCTGGGCACACACCTTACAACCATCGCAAGACTTTTGTCTTGCGATGGTTGTAAGGTACTTAAAAAAACGTACGATCTGCCTTTCTTGCATAGGCAGATCGTACTTGCGATGATCTCAAGCCACGCCCCCTGTCCGTACAATAACAATGCCCGTTCGGCATTGCGGTCATCGGAAGCCCGCCCCTCAGGGGGCGTGGCTTGCGATCATCGCAAGTACGATCTGCCTGTCCAAGATGGGCAGATCGTACGTTTTTTTAAGTACCTTACAACCATCGCAAGACAAAAGTCTTGCGATGGTTGTAAGGTGTGTGCCCAGCCTTAGAATCTAAAAGGGAGGTGGAAGTGATACATGAGGAGGGAGCTGCGTGGGGATGAATTGTTTGAGAACGTGATAGTCGAGCGGTTAGGTTGAGGTGGGATAGGTTTCCCTGAAGAGATGAGTCTTTAGGGATTGCCTGTGATGCAATCTCCATTTCTTAAGACTATATACCCCATCATGCATTGCTTCCAGCAAGCAATGATAATGTTACATACTTGAGACGTTGAGTTGCAGTTCAGAAGACAGGCTGTGTGAGGCCCCATTCACACTGAGCGATTTATCGCGCGGGAATTCCCGCGATATCGCGGCTATTTACCGCGCGATATCGCTCTCCAATGCATGGCAATGGGACTCTGTCTGTCGCGGGTCGTGCGTCGCTACAGCAGGACCCTTTTTGGAGCGGATTTTGCTGCGATTCTAGTTTGCTTAATGCAAGCATTTGCGTGATATCGCACGACAAATGCGCAATATCGCGCAAAATGCCAATCGCACAACAAACGCGCGATTTGCGAATCGCTCAGTGTGAATGGGGCCTGAGAGTGGTGACACCAGGAAGTTCATATTCACAGGGCTGAGTGATATGGTGTCAGTGCATTAAGCAATGGTGAACGGTGACTTTTTTTGCTTAAAGCTGAACTCCAGGTATGAATTATTCTGCAGCTTGGGCCCAGTATAAGTAGCATTTTTCATACCTGAGTGGCCGCTGGAGATCACTGGATACAAGGCACTCTTTGATTGGACGAGGGGTGTATCAAGACATCACGGCCCCTCGTCCAATCAAAGAACTTAAATGATAAAATGAATGGCCGCTGTGCTGAGCGAGCGATCCCCCTGTGTTTTCAGAACAGAGGGGAAGCCGTTAGGCACAGCACCATACAAGACCCAGAAGATGGTGCCCAGCACTGTAGTAGCTCTTGTGTTCTATCACCGATTGTGACTGCGTTAGAATGTGTGACCGGTCACGTGGTCACACATTCTAACGTAGTCACGCCCATTTGTTTCCGGGGTAAAAATGTGTGACCGGCAAAAGGTGTAGAATTCAAAGTTTTTTCTGCTGTTCCAGGGCAGATCGGCATCGCAGATGGTTTGTGTAGGAGAACCGATCTGCCCTGGAACAGCTGATCGGTCCTGAAATCTCACTTCTATCCGACTTTGAGAGTGCAATACACAGTCGGATAGAAGTGACATTTCAGGACCGATCAGCTGTTCCAGGGCAGATCGGTTCTCCTGCACATACTATCTGCGATGCCGATCTGCCAGAGAACAGCTAAGAAAGCTCTGAATTCTACACCTTTTGCCGGTTACAGCGGTCACACATTTTTACCCCAGAAAAAAATGGGCGTGACTACGTTAGAATGTGTGATCACGTCACTGGTCACACATTCTAACGCAGTCACAAACGGTGATAGAACACTGGCTATTATTATACCGGATTTATATAGCGCCAACAGTTTGCGCATCGCTTTACAATATAAGGAAGACATTACAATACAATTCAAGGCAAGAACGTTAGGAGGACCCTGCCCGTAAGGGCTTACAATCTAAAAGGGAGGGGCCAGTGATACACGAGGAGGTGCTTTACAGGATCTCCACGGGCTTCTCAAGTTTGACATATACAAACATACATGGGGCCAAGCTGAACCAATGTAAGAATGTCGAATAATTTATACCTGGAGTGAAACTCTAAAGGCGAAGTGTTGGGAAAGTAAAATTGACTCTTCCCAATACTTAGAGCCGGCATGTGACTCTGCAGATGTCACACGCCCGCTCTATAGATGGAGAACCTCTGATCGCTCAACTCGCAGTCTTTCTCCATGCAGAGAGCGGCGACTGTCAGTCACGCTGGGATGCCCCCTCTCTGTTCCTCCAGTGCTCATTGGAGGGACAAACAGGGGAGGGGGCGGGCACAGCTGGCTCTCAAGCTGGCAAGTCAGAAGAAGGTTAACGGCTGGCCGAATGCAGAGCAGAAGGAGATCAATGACCAGTCAAATGCAGGACAAGGGAGGTCAATGACAGGTCAAATGCAGGTCAGAAGGAGGTCAAATGCAGGTCAGAAGGAGGTCAACATCAGGTCAAATGCATGTCAGAAGGAGGTCAACATCAGGTCAAATGCAGGTCAGAAGGAGGTCAACATCAGGTCAAATGCAAGTCAGAAGGAGGTCAACATCAGTTGAAAAGGGAGGTCAATCTCAAGTTGAATGCACGTCAGAAGGACCTCAATATCAGGTCGAATGCAGTTCAGTAGAAGGTCAATGTCAGGTCAAACGCACCTGCCAATGAAGTCTAAATGATCTCAAACTGACGCCATTGACACAAGCCCAATTCGCATCAACGCCGGCCCTTAAAGGCATTTCTCAATGTCTGTCTTTTCGTCAAATAACTTGTTTCCTCTTCTTTATGACAAGAGTCAGATCAGTTGGACCTGACTGGGCTCAAGTCTAAGTTGGAGGAAAGGAAGATGTTGAGGCGGATATTATTATAATAAGAACTAGAAATGGTCCCAATAATGATATCATACCATGGTGCTGATGATGCCATTGCAGCCAGGATTATATCATGAAAGGCGACCTGCCATGTTATTGGCACCATCAGCATTTTACGAGGACCGGGGACTATCCACACAACATCCTCCCAGCCCACACCGAGTTGACGTCAGAGCCTCTTGGTGACCAATGGGGACGGGCCGGACACTCGGGTCCGATTGAGTGGAGGTTGCTATGTGCTCCAGGCGATGAAGTGTTTGCTGGAGATGATGGCTCATTACCTGAGTGACGTGATTCTGCATGAACTGTCTAATGTCCAATAACACAGGGCCCGCTGGCTGTAATGGAGGGGCTGGGATTGTGCGGATCAAAGGGTGTTACAGTATAACTGGCATGCCTAATGTTTAATTAACTTTAGGCGGCTTTGACAGGCACGTGTGCAAGAGAACCTGTCATGGGTGACATACTCCATACTCTGACAGGCCCCTGTCACAACAGGCTTAGCCAACACATTCGCTGTTATTAAAGGGGACATTGTGTAAAAAGCAAAAAAAAAAGTGTCCATTATTTTATACAGCTGTTTGAAAGCAGAACTCCGGGCTGAAGAAAACGTAACCCTTACACTGGGGCCACCCCCTCCCTGCAAGGGTAACGTGCCCCTTTCATCTAGGGACTAAAATAACAAAGATATACTCACCTGAACCTCAGACCTACCTGGCTGCTAGACCCTCTCTTCCTCTCGACATTCTCAGAACCCATCATGTCCAATACAGTGTATTGGATGGAAGGATGCTAAGGGATATTCCTGGAGTGGAGAAGGAGAGAGGCTGCAGGGACTGGTCTAGCAGTCAGGTGGGTCTGAGGTTCATGTGAGTATTTCTTTGTTGTTTTCCACCATTAGGAGCTGTGGTGAAAACCGGCTGGCCTTTAGACTCCACGCCCTGGGGGATCCCATTTTGCCTACTCTGCATCGCGGTATTCCGCTTGTCTGGACTTTAAGTCATCCTCTGCCCAGTCCGACTCCCAGTCGGCATACATTAATACACCGCCTTTCCTCCTTAGGTGTCCCACAAGTGTATTCAGGTCCCATGTCCTTGAGTCCGATCCTGACAAGATCTGAGGACCAGGTGAGTCTATCTTCTTTTTTTTTGCTCTTAGACCAAAATGAGCAGCTATCCCTTTCAGTGCGGGGCTAGCCCCAGTGCAAGGGTTCATTTTTGCACATCCTGGAGTTCTTCTTTAAGCCCTGATGAAGGGGGATCCATGACCTCTGAAATGTGTTGGCTGTGCCTATCTTCTGGCCGTCATCTGTGAAGCCAATAAAGTTTTTTTTGGACTCTTTTTAGTTTTTATTCCAATTGATGTGATCTGACCTTTATTTCAGCCAGATTAGATAGTGAATAGGGATGGTCTCGACAGGGCTGGATTTACTCTCCCTGTGTCAGGGTACCATGCACAGGTGTCCTCACACCACATGCAGGTACCCACGCAGGATGACCAAATTAATATGCCCACACAGGATAGGGTTCTATGCACACAGTTTATTGGTTCCACAA